ATACCAATTGGGGAAAGGTCTCCTTTGTTCAAAATCTAGCACTGAAATTTACTTATACAAGCTATAAGGTTGCCTAACCTGCTCATTTGATATTACATCCTATTTTCTAACCTAAAAAGTAACAGAACATCAAGACAACCTTTCTTCCCCAGTTGCACCAGAGTATCTTTTCTCTTTTCAGCATTCTCTCTTCTTGTAAGCAAAGCAAGGCAGAATGAGCTACGAATCTGCCTTACAACTCTATACCACAAAATATATGCAAAACAAGGACTCGTTAAATTAGAGACCATTTTATCCTGTGTAAAGCAGCATCAAGAGTGTCATCCTGACTTTCAACTCCTTATGTGCCCCCTTTAAAATAAAAGTTACCAACCCAGGTGCTGAAAATCAGAAGACAACATCCACTGATGTCCACAGACGAGGTACATGAGGTAACTCTCTAACTGTCCACAGAAGATAATTTAAGACATTAACAGTATATACATAATAGGCAGATGGAGTTTTTGGCAAAAGAAAGGAATCTTGTTTCTCTATTCAGGGAAAACAGACATACCCTTAGACCCTGATTGTATAATACAGAGGTCAAAAAATTCAAGTATCTCATTGGGTAGAGTTTCCATGGACCTAAAAAAAAAAAAAAAAAGTGCCATAGCACTAACAGCATTTGCAGGAATTATGTAAATATTCTTAGGTAAAATTATTTTGCCTGTATTATATACAGAAGGTCAGATTAATATTTTAGCTATGTTTCATGAGTTACTAGCATTTTAAAAAACCAACGAATTACATCTTTCATTAAAAAATCTTCAGAAGAATCACTAACAATGAATGTAAGGTTCTAATTAATGTACACAATTTTAACCATTTTACTCTTAGACATACAAACCTATGGATGCACAGAAGAAAAAGTCAAGCTGGAAGTTCACTCTACTCTGTCATACTCTGGACCTGGCCCACAACACTGAATTCATGACACAGGATGTGAACAAGTTTTTGTTTTTTTTTAATAAAAACTTTCTATTGGGATATCACAGGTTTTTGAAACTTAAAATTGAAATGTCTTTATGAATGTCCATTTTATGTTAGCATTCCTGATCAAAATCTTTACGCTGCCTTCCAACACTCACTAATAGCTGGGGTTAGACAACAGTTCTACGGTTAGGACACAAACACTGGTTCACAGCCCTGCTACCTTGATTGGGAAGCGGATTTGGACTTCGCTCATGGAGGTCTGGGACACTGTTAGGTTAACCCACTGACACAAACTGTCAGAGAACTAGACAGAATCTCCGTAAGCATCTTTCTCTACAAGGAAGAAGATCTATATAGTTATCACCACTGCAAAACTGGAAAATATTTTTACAAGTCTCAAAGCTGCTAATTAGGAAAATCATTTCTCTACTCATGGCTTCTTTAAAAAACTACAATGCAGCAATACTTCATCAGAATAATTAAACATTCAGCTACGAATGAATTACAAGTCCTAGAGACAGAACGTTTCAAGTAGCTTGCACCTAACACTGAACTTAACTGCTGCAGAACAAATTTAAGTCACATTACCACTTACCAAGCTTCACAACCTAGCCTTACGGGGACCACTCTGCACCTCCCACGCCTTTTGCCTTATCCCTTTTCTCTTCAGCACTCAAACATGTAAACCCTTACAAAGCCTAGAAGACAAAGAAAAGCAGATATGCTGTGCATCTCTGAACATAACCAGGTAAGAAATCCTGCCAGAAAAGCCCTCACAACCTCCTGCTTCTCTGCTCTTCCCTTCTGCCTTTCCCATACACACTTAAAACATAGACTGTAGGAATCCTCTTTACCAAACACAAGTTACATACAGGTAACTCTGAAAAACACCTATAAACTACTTAACACACATGCTACTCTTTCCAACTTTTTTATAGGTTCTTACAGAACTAACAAGCTCATAAATTTTAATATGGTTTCGTAGCACAAGTGCAAACCATGCTCCACTGTTTCACAGAACATATTCTGGAACCGCCTTAAAAACTTTGGTTCATAGAACTCACACCATATGTCTGATCCAACAAACCTTATGTCATCATGCACAATGATGCATGATATTGCACAAACTGGCCTGAACTCTTCCGTTGAAAGGTACTGAACCTGCGTAAAACCTTCCTGTGGATGGCCCAGGTTTCTTGCATGTCTCTTAGCAGCAAACCTGAGCAAAATGGAGCAGATCCCATTTTCTGTTCTGGAGCGCAGAAAGGGAAAGGCAGAAGATTCTTTCCTTTAAAGATGCAGGAAAACTGTTTCTAGATTATGTTGTTTTCTTTTCAGAGTATCATTACGAGTTTATCCTAGGAGGAGTATTATGTTCTACAAGGATAGTGATGCAGCAAATAGATGGGATACTGGATCTGAAAGAACAGTTCTACTGCTACCCTGTTGCTTAATCTTTGGCAAATCACTTCTACCCTTTACCCCAGTCTTATATTGGCGTCATCTAGTAGAAACCAGCATACAAGGTAAGGATGATATTTATACAGTACCTAGCAAAAACGAGACACTAGGTTTCCAATTTTCAAGTGAAACGAGAAAAGGCTTGCAGTTTGTGACTGCTGTTTATGAGCTGTACCCGGTGAAAAATCTGTAACTCATTAACTTGTGATCATTCTGGCCATCTTCCCTGCTTTTCAGGAAATTCACCAAACAGACAAGCCAGTATGTCCCCTATCAGAAACTGTAATTAACTAGCACATCTTGGTAATTAACAACCCTCATGAACACTGCTAGGAACACAACTTCACAATGCATGTATGTTGACACATTGCTTCCTCCTCCTTCTGCGGGATTACAGACAGTAAGTCAGTACCTGGACTTCCCATCAGCTGTACACTTGCTTAGAGAACGAAAAGACATTCGTGAATAATTCCTTCTCAAAGGTCAGTAAAGACCCTTGCAAGTTTTAAAACAGGCTGATTCTAAAACAATTTTGGTTGGGTAGGCAGCGCTTTTCCCTGTTCGATTTAAAAGCTAATACAGCTTGAGATCTCAGCTTCCTTAGGAGATCTGAACATTATTTTCTTCCGATAGTCCTGGATTTAGCAATAGTCATTCAGGAGGTATGATTAGGATGCTGGCCTAAGTGATTTCTTTCAACATCCTCAAAATAGTTGGATCCCAAATAGTATCTTGAGGCTGGTTCTGAATCCTTCAAGAGTTCTTCTGACCTTACTACATTGCAAATCATGAAGGAGCTTCAGACCTCAGGTTGAAGAGAACTTCTTTCAACTCCAAGTGCAAAATTAAACAAATAAAGCCTTGCCATTGGAGAGCTACTTGAGATTGACTCAAATACTTGCTATAGTCCTCCAAGTATGATAAATCAACCTGCATTAAACTCTATCTTGCAACTGCTACACTGCACCCAGTTCCAAATAAGCTATCTCAGAAACTTCTGGGCCAAATGACAGGTCTGTGGGCAGAAACTAAACAGAACTGTAGAATAATTCAGGCGGGAAGGAACCTCATGAGGTCTCTAGTTCAAATTCCTGCTCAAAATAGGGTCAGCTATGAGATCAGATCTGGTTACCCAAGGCTTTACCCAGTCAGTTCTTCAAAACCTCCAAGGATGGAGACCACACAATCTCTGGGCAGGATGTTCCACTGTTTTGACTGTCCTCATGGTGAAAAAGTTCTGCCTTACACCCAAAAACACCTCTCTTGTCTCAATTTATGCCTGCTGTCTCTTGTCTTCCCACCACTCACCACTGCAAATAGCCTGGCTCCACTTCCTCGATAATCTCCCCATAGGTACCAGAAGGCTGCTGTTAGGGTCCCCCCCTCAACACTGCACTCCCAAAGCCTCCTCATCTCCAGGATGAGCAGAATAGGCCCAGTTCCCTCAGGCCCTCCTCATAGGGCAGGTGCTCCAGCTCCAAAGACCACTGTGATAGATTGCTGCTGAACTCACTCCAGTTTATCAACATCTGTCTTGTAGCAGTGGGGGGGCAGTACAACTGGATGCAATATTGTGCATGCGGTCTAATGAGTGCTGAGCAGCAGGGGATAAATCACTCAATATACTGGTTGTGCTCCTGTTGACACAGCCTAGGATGCAGTTGGCCTTCCCTGCTGCCAGGATACACTGCTGCCTCCTGCTCGGCTTGCTGTCTGCCAAGACCCAGGGCCTTTTCAGGAGAGCTGCCCCCCCCCAAGCCAGTCAGACCCCAGCTGGATTGCTGCAAGGGGCTGATTATTCCTATGCCAGGAAACAAAGCTAGGAACCCCCTAACCCTAAGTAGCTGTTTAAATGGCAAATTTGTTTAGAAATCAGCAGCAGACAAAATGGATAGAAATTGAAGCCAAGACTTCTTAGTGTTAATACACCTTACTTAGTAGTACTAAGTCGCATCTTAGGGCCATATTCAGATGGCCTAAATTCCACATAAATCCTTCTGCCTCTTATTTCTTATTAGCTGGCTTTCAGGCAGCTCTCCATTCAGCATCTTACGTAAACTCTCTGAATCACTCTCCAAAAACACCTAGATTTCTCCACTGGCTGAGAAAAGGGTCTTGAGTGGAATTTAGGCCATCTGAACTTAGTCTTTAAGGCATGATAATGTTGCAGCATCAGACTGCGTTATTCTTTTGACTCTGTCACTGTGGCAGTAGGTGAAGGCTTGTTTGGTAGGATAGGTTTTGAGTTACTCTCCCTTTGAAAAAATACACTTTTTAAGAAAATGTAAGTTTCTAAACAATTCAGGATTACATTCTTCCTGCTCCCTTCTGAAAATTTATGCCATAGTTGGATCTCCTTAACAAGGATGCTTTATGCCTAGTTCCCTCACATTTTCTCCTGAGCCATGTGTGCTGCTTTGTTCCAGCTGTCTGGTAGATTCACTAATAAAAATTTGATCTGTAATATGATTATGGTTCAAACCATTCATTGGCCTGCTCAAAGCAAGAATAAAAGCCCTAAACTGGCACTAAACATGGGCTGGGTGATAAATGGCTTTAATGCTCACCAGTCCTGGAGGAGCAAAGTGCTTTCAGTCAAGCATCAACACATTTCCTGTAGTTCTTCAAAATGAATCATTTTTCCAGTAAATATCAGCCTGATGTTCCGGGGGTTCAGGATGATCCAGATCTCTTGATTAAATAAATGTATTTCTCATAGGCATTCTGGTATTATAACAGTGACATAAATTGGAAAGTTACATAGATCAATATGCAGAATATCTGCTGATGTCATGCTTGGTTGAGGCTGGGGTTTAAAATTTTCACTATTGAGTAGAATGGGAACCTTGGAGATGGGACATCTTTCAGAACCACATGGTAGCTTCTTGAGAATCAACAAAATACAGTATTTTAAAGTAAATTTGGTAGATATGCTTCTCTCCAAGGGATACCATTTCCATTAGCAAGAATGCCCACTCTCCTGACCTGCGAGCATGGAGGGTATCTATTCCACAGGCTGGGTCTGTAATGGTTTTCAGAAATCTTGAGCACATGGATCCCCAGATCCATCAGATTCACTCCATGCTGTCAGACAGGTATCAAGACTGAACATATAAAGTATAAAATTCGGATCTACCCCCACTTTCTAGGGACTAACAATAAAAAACGTACTGAACGATTGCAAAGAAAAGTAAGCCTTTGGGTCACAATGCTTAGCTTCAACTGTTTCTGAAATTATAAATCCACAGGACAAAGAAGAATCAGACTTAACAATTTCTTCCCTTAACTTTTCAGAACACACAAAACAGGCAAATATAATGATGCTCTTGCTCTCACAGCGGTGCAGACGGTTATAACCATAAAGTCTTATGGGCGCACTGAGATTATTATCTTCCTCTTAGGACATAATCCAGACCTAACACTGCATCTACCACTTCTGACTTTTACTTTTTAGACCCAGAAAAAAAAATCACCCGCCACAGTGAAGTTTTACATAGTGAGACGCTAGGTCCAGTTTGGGGAAAGACTGTTGCTATAAAAGAATCAAACAAAAATCTCATTAAGTCCAGTCAAATCTTGTTGGTTTCACTTTGCAATTTTTCTTTACACGATGCTTAGAGCAATATCACAAAAAAACTTCATGACCGTTCAAATCGCCTTTAAGACTTCTGCAATATTCTAAAATATTTTGAGTAAGAATTAATACCCTTACCCTTAACAGACTTTTTAAAATACTGAAAAACATTTATGCTATGCAAAAAATCTATAAACGTGTGCAGTTTTCATTTCCATCTTCAGCAAAAATACCCCGGTTTATTGGTTTCGCTCTTTTTCAGAAATTCTGTATTGATAACAACACTTTCCTAGTTAGAGAATTCAGCTTTTTAACTACAGAGATTTCATATTTGATTCTAGCAAATTTATTTCATAGGCCAGAAAACATGCTCTGCAATCTGGTACTCTTTAATAAAATGCAATACTTTCAATTTAAAAAAAATACATATATGCTGGCTATTATACACTGCAATGTACAAAATAGATACAGATTGTTGGGTTTATTTTCTTCAAAAACTTTAAAAAATTAAAAAAAAAAAGCTGGCACTGTACATTAGCTAATTTCCTTGCAACTGTTTCTATTCAAGTCAGGGTTTTAATTTTTCCAGAAGATTACTGTTTGCTTACTTTAAAAAGATTTTACAGCGGCCCCACACACTGGACCTCACCCTGTTTATAGAACTATCTCAAATAACCTCGACGTGTTTTTCCCTCTCCAATACACGTTACGTTAAAAAAAAAAAAAAACCCTCTGCTAGCTTTCATGAGGGACTTGATTTAATGCTGAAGTGTGTCCTCTTCACCAAGTAACAAATATTTTGCAGTGAGCCTGAAAAACAGTAAAACACGTCTGCAGATTCTGATTAAAAGTCACTTTTATCCGTGCTGGTTTCGCAGTGGGGCTCCGTACAGGCTCTAAGCCGTACCGCAAAACCGAAGACTACGTGCAAAAGGCTTTTGTGCGCGGCCCAAGCTGACAACGCGCAAGGTTCGGGGTGTTCTAACGACACCTACTTCGCCTTTCGCACAGCCCGGCCGGCCCAAAGGCGCTGTCCGCACCG